TCTACGGCATTCCCCGCCATATTTCACTTACTGACCCACTTTCCCTAAGGCTGGCGTGACACTCTTCCAACCAAATCCGGCTCTTCTTGGGTGTCTCGTGAAGATCCTTAAGCTGGGTGGCGTGATGATGATCCTGCCATTAATTCCTTTCTTCTGAATTAACTGTGTGACATTCTTCTCCCCAGACATGAAATGGGTGTGCTTTTATAGTAAGATATTTTTACCTTTTTCCTGACTGTTATGGATCTTTCTTCTTTTTTTGGGGGGGAGGGTGGGTGTAGTCCCTCTATCTTTATTCGCATTTTCAGCTATGGTAATTCTTCATGCTGTTTTCATTTATTTATTTATTCATTTATTTATTTACACCCTAAGCCTCTGTTCAAAATCACGTACAAATTTTCCGAAATTAGTCAGGGAATTTAACTTTCATTCATCTTTTCTTCGACGCCTGTTGATTTTAAATATATTCTGAGGAATGATATTGAAATGCCTGGCGATGATTAAGATCACGAAAGATAATATGAACAAGAAGAGGAAGAGGAGGGGAGAAAGGAGAAGGAGTGAGAAGATAGAAGAGGAGGAGGAAAGGAAGGAGAAGAAGAAAAGGGAGATTGAGGAGACGAAGAAGAAAAACAGAATAGAGAAGGATGAGAGAAAGAAGGGGAAAAGGGAGGAAAAGATAGTGAGAGAGAAAAGAATTAGTAAAAGAAAAAGGAAACATGAGGATTAATGGAAAGAAAAATGGAGAGGAAGCATAAAATAGAGAAAGAAAAGGATAGAAGGAAAAGAGGAAGAACAAGAAGAAGAAGGAGAAAAAGAAGAAGAGAAGAAGAAATAGAAGAAGGAGAGGAAGAAAAAGAGAGAGAGAAAAGAAAAGCAATCATGCGCTGACATTTTCCCTGTGCACCAGCGAGCGTGTCTCAGCGTCCCTGCCCGTCTTTCCGGGGGAGTGAGCGTGGTGGTGATAAACATGATGGTGACCAGGATGATGGTGATGATGGTGACCCCGGTGGTGGTGGTGGTGATGTGTGTGGTGTTGCTGGGCCTGAGTGTGAGCAGCGGGCGGAGGAGGAGCCACGGGAAGCTGCCAGAACTTGGTGTCGTTGAGGAGGTCGTCCTTGGCCAGGTTCTCCCACAGAGGAATGCGCATGAGGCCTCCTGGAAGGTACGTGGTCAGTGCTTTAGTTCGGTTCATACAGCGTCTCCACCGTACTTTGTTTGTAAATATCATATTGTTTGTTATACTGTGAATGACTAGTCCTATTGCATATATCTTGGTTGTAATCGTTTTTGTAAATTTCTTATTGCTTTTTCATGTTGAATGATTTATTACATGACGTTCATCGCGCTTGCTTTATTTTTTTCATTTACAGTTTATATTGTTTGTTGATATCAAATGACTTGTCACATTTCATACATCTCAATTGTAAACGTTTTAGCAAATTCAACCTCACATATAAATGGCCAGTGAATCAGCACATTCCATGCAACGTCTCATTTGTATTTTTAGTAGATTTCATGTAAAATATCACTGACATTTGATCAAGTACATTCCAAACATGATAATCTGATTTCTAATAAATTCCATTATAGCATATTAAATACTTTCGAAAATGTCATACATAATAGTAGTGAATATTCAGTACGTTCATACAGCGTCTCAGTAATTTACTACATTTCATTCCTCGCGTCAGTCAGTGAATGACACATAACGTTATATTTCAAATAGGTATGAACAGCTCTTTTCCGGAGAACCAAATCTAGTACTTACTCTCGCGTATTTCAATAGTAAACATATTTCTTCTTTCTCAAGATCTCACATGTATCAGAACTAATGGATATTCATTCTGCTCAAGATCCTATTTCAAAACTGAAAATGATTCATTCTTCATTGCATAATGGTCTCTAATTTGCCCCCCCCCCCCTAATTAAGATTTGTAATTACAGAATGGTATTTTACAGCATCAGATTTATCAGAAGATAAATGTCATTTATTGTTTACAGTCTATCTCTCTAGGTTCATTTACCGTTGGTGCATATTTCTCTAAATATTAATTATTTTCTCTATCTACATATCAGTCTATCATCTGCCTATCTGTCTGTGCTGTCTGTCCGTCCATCTCTCTCTCTCTCTCTCTCTCTCTGTCTCTCTCTCTCTCTGTCTGTCTCTCTCTCTCTCTCTCTCTCTCTCTCTCTCTCTCTCTCTCTCTCTCTCTCTCTCTCTCTCTCTCTCTCTCTCTCTCTCTCTCTCTCTCTCTCTCTCTCTCTCTCCATCTGTGTGTGTGTGTATGTGTGTGTGTGTGTGTGTGTGTGTGTGTGTGTGTATGTGTGTGCGCGCGTGTGTGTGCGTGTGTTATAACTAGCTAGCTATCCATTTCTCTTATTTTTTTAGGAGATTCGAGTATAAAAAAGAATAAACCATTTTCTGATGATATATACTCCTAAAGCCAGCCATTCAATACACAACCAACATAACACTTGATACCGTTAATCTCTAAGAATTAACACCTCAGATCTAACATAAAACGTTTTTCATCCCTACCAAAGCTTACTCTTGACAAACATTCACTGCACCCAATACATCCATCGAAGATCAAGTTAATAACAAAAAAAACATTCTATTCATATCTTCATGCAAATCTCATCTCCGCAATGCGCATTGTTTCAGACACATTAGTGCATCAGACATTTAGTAATTAACGGTTTGGTTAATAGATTAGGCTAGCTGATTAATCCCCAAACGAACGGCCGTGATAATGGGAAACCACAGTATATAAACGCCTGAGGTTACGTTATCGTAAACACCAGCTAGAGGAGGCTTTAGAAAGTTTATATACTCTGGGCATGAGAATAATCCCCTCCCCCCCCCCCTTACCTGGTTCTCATTTCTCGTAAAGATCAAACGTGCATGACATAGGTTGTTTAAAAAAAAAGAGTGAGTCACAACACCGACATGTTTTTTGTTTTTTTTCCACGAGTTTCTCCCCCTCCATTTTGTTGTGACGTAATCTCGTTAATTAAAAAAAAGCTGGTGTCACGACATGATCGTAATTCGCCTTTTTAGCGGTTGGAACAGCTGTCACGACGTTGTAATACCTTAATACTGTTATCATTTTAGTGCCCGAAGACCTTGCAACTGGTTAAATCCCATTATTAATGCTGATAATATTACCAATTGAATTTATTTATCGTCTGCAGTGAAACGTCGACAGAGGTGACCTGTTACACGCTGACCTGGATTTTAGTGGAAATAATTCTAGGATGGTATGTTGAAGATTTCAGATTAAGATATATCTTCTGTGTTCCCGATGTGTGCTTCATCGTCTGACACAGATTTCAGGAAAATCAGATTAAAAGAAATGTTTTTGTTCTGTTTTGTAATGAGAATAGGAAGCGTCCTGTCAAAAGATAGAAAAGAATGAGAAAGAAAATATGATTTTTTTTAAATTTTGGGAAGAAAGAGGATAGGCGAAATAAGTGTAGAGAAGTAGAAGAAAAAACAAGAAGAAACAGAAGAATATACGAATACTATATCATCAAACCTAAATTCCTAAAATACATCGAAACCTATTTTTCTAATAAGCAAACAACGCCCCTCGACCCTTTAAAAAATAATGATTAGAAAATAAAAGTAAAATGAAATAAAATCATGATAATAGCAACAATTAAATTCGAAATAAAACAAATCAAAATAACTCATACCCCTTCTCCCCATACAACACACCTGTTAAAAGGCCCCCCACAACATAAACCACATAAATTAACTCATCCTCCGTCTACCTGTTAAAAGGCCCCCCACAACATAAACCACATAAATTAACTCATCCTCCGTCTACCTGTTAAAAGGCCCCCCACAACATAAACCACATAAATTAACTCATCCTCCGTCTACCTGTTAAAAGGCCCCCCACAACATAAACCACATAAATTAACTCATCCTCCGTCTACCTGTTAAAAGGCCCCCCACGGCAGAGACCACAAGCGTGGTGACAACGGCAAGCAACTGGTAAAACGCTTGGACCAGAGGCGTGCGTCCTTCCCCGGCCTCGACCACCAAATACTGGATGATTTCGTGAAGAGCTGGACTGCCTTCCTGAGGGGACATGGCGGGGAAGATTTCGTACAGGCTGTGGGGAGGAAAGGGAGGAGGGATGGTAGAGATAAATGGTGATAGGGAGGATAGGGATAAAGGGCGGTAGAGGTGATAGGTATGACGAAAGTGTGGGGGTGAGAGGGATGGTAAGGATAAAGATGGTAGGGAGTGATAGTAATAATAGTGATGAGATAAACGTGATGGTGATGATGAGTGAAAGTGATGGGAGTGATGATGGGAATAAGAGTGAGAGGGATGATGCAGAGAGAGAGAGAGAGAGAGAGAGAGAGAGAGAGAGCTGATAACTATCTCGTACAGGTTATGGGAGGGAGGAGGAGAGGGATGATGGAGATAAAGGTGACAGTGATGATAAAAATAATGGTGATAATTATAATAACAAAATTAAGAATGGGAGGGGTGATAATGGAAAAAATGGTGTTAGTGATGATAGAAAAAAGGGGGAAATGATAATAATGATCTCGTACAGGCTGTGGGAGGAAGGAAGAGAGGGATGATAGAGATAAAAGTGGTGATAAATATAATGATAACAGTGATGATGGATATGAAGGTGACACTAATGGTAAAAATAAAGCTGATATGGATAATAAAGATAAAGATGAATAATAAAGGTAAATAAGATAGTGATGATTAGGATAAACAGAACTATTACTAGCATTGTTAACATTATTATTGTTTTCTTTTTACTTTTATTGCCGTTATCATCATCATTATCTTTATCATCTCTTTATCATCATCATCGCCATCATGTCATTGTCACTAGAATAATGACAGTGACTTTAGTAATGACAACAAGGTTAGTGATGATGAAGATGACAAAGAAGAAGAAGACTATGATAATGTATTATTATTATTATTATTGTTGTTGTTGTTGTTGTTGTTGTTGTTATTGTTGTTGTTGTTGTTGTTATTATTATTATCATTATTATTATTGTTGTTGTTGTTATTATTGATGTTGTTTTGTTGTTGTTGTTATCATTATTATCATTACTATTACTTTTATTATTACTATTATTACTATTATTACTATCCTCCTCCTCCTTTTCCCCACCATCATTATCATTATTATTATTATTATTATTATTATGATAATATCAATAACAGTAATAACAAAGATTATAATGATAATGATGAGGATAATGGTAACCATAACGAATAATAATAATAGCAATAATAGAAAAAAACAAAAATAATGAAAATAGTAACGAGAATAAGATGTTGATGACAATGACAAGGATAAAATGCTAGTAATACCGATAAAGACGTTGATAAGCACCAGGTATGACCTACCGAGATACTCCATGACCTATGACCTACCTATACCCATATTGACCCGTGTCAGAGGCAAGGGCGGCCAGCAAGGCACCTGTCAAGCCGCCCATTACCCCTGCCAGCCCATGCGTCACGCCCACACTCGCTGTGTCATGGGCGCCCACACGTCGGCTCGCGCACGGCTGAAAAAAACAGATGCACATCGCCGAAATTAATGTGTGTGAGAGAGAGAGAGAGAGAGAGAGAGAGAGTGAGAGAGAGAGAGAGAGAGAGAGAGAGAGAGAGAGAGAGAGAGAGAGAGAGAGAGAGAGAGAGAGAGAGAGAGAGAGAGAATGAGAGAGAGAGAGAGAGAGAGAGAGAGAGAGAGAGAGAGAATGAGAGAGAGAGAGAGAGAGAGAGAGAGAGAGAGAGAGAGAGAGAGAGAGAGAGAGAGAGAGAATGAGAGAGAGAGAGAGAGAGTGAGTGAGTGAGTGAGTGAGGAGAGAGAGAGAGAGAGAGAGAGAGAGAGAGAGAGAGAGAGAGAGAATGAGAGAGAGAGAGAGAGATGAGAGAGAGAGAGAGAGAGAGAGAGAGAGAGAGAGAGAGAGAGAGAGAGAGAGAGATGTGTGTGTGTGTGTGTATTATATATGTATATGTATATATATACATATATTTACACTTCATTTCTGAAAGGTAATTATGTGTCACTGCCATATCAAATCGTTGGTAATAATAAAGTGATTTAATGACTGATGATAGATAAAGTGATAATAATTGATAATAGAAATAAAGTGATTTGATAAAACAGATCGTTGAAAATCGGTGAAGTTTGAAACGATCATGCTATTTTGATGATTGCGTGGGAACATAATGCTCGTGAGATTATGTTTCGGAATGATGTTGAAACAACCACGAATTTGTGTTTTTTTGTTTTGTTTTGTTTTTTTTTTTAAAGCAAAATAAGGGTATTCGTTTTTTTTTTTTTTTTTGGGGGGGGGGAGGGGGGGTGATCTGTAAAGAATCTGGGTCTTAAGCAGAATATTAGACATCAATGTGATAAAATGTTTAATTTATTTGTAGATGTCATATAAATGTTTACACCGCCCCAAATCTCGCTGTCGCCGTTTTACAAGGTCTTTTCCTCTCCCTCTTTCCTTTTCTTTTTCTTCTTCATCCCCTTCTTCTGTCCATTTATCCTAATTCTTAACTCATATTTACCCTTTTCGCCACAATACTTTATTATAATGTTGTGTAACCTTCGATGTCTGGTACATTTGCTTTGACCATTTGTTTTCTGAAAATCCACAAACATCGCCTTATTGAACAAAAAAAAGCAAAAATAAATTTACTCAAGCCCCACACTATCGTTATATTTTATTTGCGCTGATAATGACCTTAGATGTTGCAGAAAAAAATCAATAGATAAAAAAGTAAATAAATATTTATATCATAACCAGACATAGGCTATTGTTTTATCATTATGATCTCTCATTATATCATTATTGCACAATCAGAGGATTTCAATATATTATATCATCATTTAATTGATATTACCATTGTCGTTTCATCATCATTATCATTATCATCATTTTCTGGATTCCATTTGAGATTTGTGACTCATGAAAGTAAACAAAATATAGGGGTCATGATGTCGATGAAAATGGTCTTCAACGTGCAATTATAAACAATGACTTTTCTTCTTTTGTCTGAATATTTCAGTTTCGTTTTTATTTGTGTGTGTTCGTGTATGTAGACTTGTATATGCGTAAGTGAATTTATATAAACATGTAAACAAACACACACACCATCTCTCTCTCTCTCTCTCTCTCTCTCTCTCTCTCTCTCTCTCTCTCTCTCTCTCTCTCTCTCTCTCTCTCTCTCTCTCTCTCTCTCTCTCTCTCTCTCTCTCTCTTTCTCTCCCTCTCTCTCCCTCTCCCTTTCTCTCTCTCTCTCTATCTCCCTCTCCCTTTCTCTCTCTCTCTCCCTATCATTTTCTCTCTCTCTCTTTCCCTCTCCCTTTCTCTCTCTCTCTCTCTCTCTCTCTCTCTCTCTCTCTCTCTCTCTCTCTCTCTCTCTCTCTCTCTCTCTCTCTCTCTCTCTCTTCACTCTCTCTCTCTTTATCTCTCTCTCTCTCTCTC